TGAGGTTTTAGGCAAAAAATTCGATGCTGACTTCAGCAAGAAACTAACATTTTGAAGCGGTGATTTTGCGCTTACATATACATTACTTGTTATTCCGCTTAAATGGTCGCCCATCTTGAACAGGCTGACGTGCGGAGCTTAAGCCCATTTAGCATACAGCTAAAACGTGATTTATTTAGGTTAAAAAAGCAAATAATTCAAGGTGATAGGTCTTGATGACAGATTTTGTAATGTTTGGCACGTTTCAGGAAGCTTCTATATATATTCATGACCGGTCTATAACACTTTTTCCAGTCTTTGTTACTTTAAGCGTACAGTATTCTACAGTGATTCAGCAAAGGGTAAAGAAAATTAAGTTTTAACTCTCTTTGCTTTTCTTACGGAAGTGTTCTTATTTCCTGATGACTAATAATGGCACTTTTAAAACTTAAAAAAGTTTTATCAGATTTACAGCACCAGGTCATACCTCTTATTTGACAATTTCTGTTATTTTTTAATGCAACATTTTTTTCACTATCATCTTGCCCAGCTGTATAATTGGTGCTAATTCATTTGTTCATTTATTAGCCTCATTTTTGTTGCAGAAAAGAAATATGTTGTAAATGAGGCTGTATTGTATGTATCGAAAAATAATGCTTCATATTAACACGTCGTGGTCAGGAAGGTTTATTAAAGAAGAAAAAACTAGTTGTTTCTTCAAAACCAGATTTTCAAACTTATGCTGTTAATGGTTCAGAGGAGTGTGAGCAGTTGTATCTGGGTTAAAATTAAAAACTTTTTAGTTAAAGGTTTAGAATACCTGAGTAGTTGCAGATAGATTAATGAATAGGAGAACATGCTTTAAATGTTTACGAGTGTTAGCCAGGTGCGTACAAAAACAGCTTCAATTTGTAATTGCAGAAAAGCAGTTCTTAACACAGTCTATTTACTTGGCGAACATGTAAGTTAATTTTATAAGTACGAAAGATTACCGAAAAGATTGTTGGCTTTTGTGAGCACTCTACTTAAACAATGGTATTCGCGCTTAGCCTTTGTTTAAGACCCCCTTATTAATCAGAATAAACTTGAATTTTTTTTTATTGTAAATCTTTGCAGGAAAATTCGTCTTTTCGATGGCACTTTTTTTGCTTCTCTTGGCGTAGTTTTCTTCTTGCATATAGCGCTGCGTAGTGATCAAGTTTTTCTCATGTTTACGTTTAAATCTAGAAATTCTCAGTCCTCTTGTTAATTTTTTTACACACCAGTTACACTGGGAGTTGTTGCTGCTGCGGTTTATATTTTCAATGAACTGACAATAGGTGGAGGTTTAGAGGATAGACCAAGAGCAAAGCAAATTGCTGAAGCGCAGAAGGTAAAAACAGGCTTTGCTATCTCTGTAAAGAATGGAAAATAAATGCAAAATTCGAGAAGCTAATCTCCACTAACAGAAATTTGGATTGATAAAGCCTCTCCTCTATCATCGGCTTTGCCGGTTTTGCAGATACGTTTACTGTTTTGCTGACAAAGAAACAAGAAATTTTCTGTTGGATCTATTCTTTTAGATTTTTTCTTTTATTCTGCTTTCTTCACTTTCTCAGCCTTCTTCCTTATTCATTTTAAGTTTGAGTTTGTATGGCGCTGTTTCCACATCCTTCAGCTTTAATCTTTCTTTTTCACTGTTGTAAACTGGTGGAACAAACAATCTATAGGAGACATACATAAATCAATATATTGACAGCGTAAATGTTTTTTAAGATTTTCATCTTGCAAAGATATTTACATAAATATGTATACATATATTTGTTGTCAAGCAAATTATACACAAGGGAGGTTTACATTCTTTTTTTTCTTATTAGTGAAATCTGCAAAATGGAACTTTTTTGTTCATAAACTGATGAAGTGTGATGGCCACAAAACATA